ATTTATCGTCTGCACATCTTTACATCTAACTCTCTCCCTCTCTCTCTCTCTCTCTCTCACTGTATTAGTCACCTCTCTCTTTTGGGTATAATCTTTCTTTTTTTCTTTTTATATATTAAGTTATTTATTATCTCCCCCTTAGACGTTTTCTTCCCTCACTATCTCAAAAAATCTCGAAATCGTTTACTCTATCTGATTATCTCTATCATTAAAAAAATAAAAAGTGGGGAAGTCAAGCGACTGCTAAAAATCTATTCTCCACTACACTGTCGGCTCTTCATTGAAAATGGCCGCCTATCAATGACTTCCTGTTTGGGCCGGATGTTCATAGAAAATGGATCTACAGCGCGAGATATAATCGACCCTGATTCCTCATATTGTCAAAGTACCTCGAAAGAAAAACGATCCGTGTACTAGAAACTCACGATTACATACTGAAAATCACAACACACACACACAAACAAACAAACGCGCGTGCGCGCACACACACACACACAATAGTATTCAAAACCACTTCCCTAACTTTTTTAACATCACAAAAAAAACTCCCTCAAAACAAAGACATATCAAAGACCAAAAATACATAGAGAGTAACGCAGTGCCTTCCCAGAAGGCAATGTACTTTTTAAGAAGGCAATCAAAATGCTTACTTCCGGTTTCAGTGTTAAAAAAAAAGATAATGACAATAACAAGTGATATCAGCGACAACAATTGTGATAACTTGAAACTAACACTGGTTCAAATGTCCTGACAAGATTTTTTTTTTTTTTTTTTTTTGACATAATCAAGGTCCCTGCAACAATTGGATTTCCGAATCAACCAGTTTGGACGGATGATTAAACATTGAATGATTGCTATCATATACAGAATGATATTTTAATTAAATGTTGGAGCATGCGCGGCTTAAAAGAGGGAAATAATCTGACGTAAATATATATGCATATTTTCAGGCACACATAAGCACATAGAAAAGTGTTGCAATATGTTCACTCATAATTACACATAAGTCTGCTTCTAAAATTTTGTGTACATATAATATAAGCGTACATATTCTCAGTAGTCACATACACACAC